AAACGTGAAGAAATAGTGAATGTGTGTGTCATAAATCTTACCGTTTAACAGGTGTTCGGTTTAGCCGCTCAGCAGTGCCCGGTTCACTGCGGAATAAACCGATTTTAATAGCTAAGCAGACACCTGTTTACTGATCACAGTGGCGGCCTTTGTTCCCTCATAAAAGATAAAGATAAGGCTGTTCAGCAGGGAAGTGATAAAGGAATCGAGCAGCAGGTAGCGTCAGACACCTCTGGCACCTCGGGGTCAGTACGGGTGGGTAGAGGGCACCCGGTGCCATGTCATCATCTGTCTGCCATCGCCGGTGATGTTAACTCACAGCGACATGACGCCTGATGTCAAAGACAGAGCAGGAGGAGGAAGGAGAACAGATGATGGGAAGTCAGATGATTCAGCCAGCGGTAACAGAGCAGAGGCTGACTGCTCCCACGGTGTGAGCAGAGCCCCTTCACTTCCCATAAAAATATATTAACTAAAGCTTTTTTTTTTTACGATTACAGCTAACTGGGTATTCCCATAAGTATAAAGCTGCGTCCTCCTTCACCATCAATACATTTAAACAGCATCACTTGGATTAGGCTAGTTTATTTCCCCAATTGGGAGCTATTTGGGTCAGTGTCGTACACTTATTTAGAGTACACTTAAAGTTAAAGCTGCACCAATCATTATTTATCCGTAGTGTAATGTTAAAGGTTTCTCACAGGCAAAGTTATAAAAGCATTATATATCAAAAAGGACAATGTTTAGAAAGGAAATTCAATTTGAACTTTGTGTTAAAGGAAGAGTGGGCAAACAAACTGCTGTTTGGCGACCCCCTCCGCTATTCTGAAGCCTCCGCTCTCCTCCAGCGACACACCTCCAACCCCTCTCCACTCGCCCTCTCCTCTGCATTGACAGAGGGTAGACTTGATTTGTGTGTAAAATGTTGCACATTCTGACCAATTCCCTGAGTAGGTAGCTAAACACATGAGGTCTCATGAGACGCAGCTTAAAGTAAGCGTAGGTGCAGGATCTTGTAAAACGGAATAGTTTATTTCTTCTAAAAGTTATTCTGGAATTGGTTTGGTTTTCCTGCTGCCAAGATGAAACAAACAACTTTATAAAAATTTGTCCAAATAATGTTGCAACTAAAAAAACAGCCTAACAACTTTCCTTCTCTCTGCAGCTACAACAGTAATGGGAAACAAACGTTTTAAATATGTTTGTTTGTGGAACCAAATAGCTACTAAATATTATTGGAAACAAATACATTTAAATCTTAAGTTGGGTGAGATGCAACCTCAGAAATCATCGCCTTTGACCAGCTGATGACTTGGGCCTCTGGGATACGGATTTCTCTGCACTTACGGTGTTTCCAGCATTGTCAACTTTTGACTGGAGGTTGAAGCGATCATTTCTGATTCTCTTCACGTCGAATGGGAATCGATCTAAACGCTGATTGGCTTTAGCGAGACAGCGCCAAGCAGATTTGTCGCTCCAGTTGAACTCTTTGACCTGCAATAGATTCTTTGCCGCACTTCTGTGAAGAGCTCTGTTTAAGAAGATCAATGAATTATCATAAGAATACTGCAAATTGGAGTTGGTATCATTACATGGATTGCATTCTGCCTGCTTTTTGCTGTCCACACAGACACACGTTTGGTCAACACAGCTCAGACTAAAAATGAACTACAAACAGAAACCAGAACACTTCTCATGCTGAAAGTGTCGAGTACATATTCTACATTTTTGTCAAATCTGCAAAACAAACTATTAGAGCATCAATACCAAGTTTATATTTATTGGAGACCAAATAGAAAATGATCACCCAACGCCACAGTTCCTTTCAGCTTTTCAAAGCCTTTAAGCCTCTTTTAGCTTATTGTTTTGGGTTTCCTCCTAATTTAAAAATGAGCCTCTAATCCAGCCTCTTTAAGCTGTTTATAAAAAAACAACAACTCTGAACTCACCTGCTGTTTGTCCAGCACCAAATAAACAGCGAGAGCTCAGCTGCGTAAGAGACCGATAGATTTCTCGGGGGTTGAAGGAGGCCAAAAGTAAATCAAACACTTGACCTTTCCTTTTTTCAGTTAGCCATGATGAGGACTTCAGATGAATACTAATGTTGCTCTAGGTCTCACTGATGTCTAAACGGAAACTGTTTGAAAAACAAAGTGACTATTTAAGGTGATACATTTATAAATGGCTACAGCTTGTTCTGCTGCCCTCCAGAAAAGACAAAATAAATATTGCAGCTAAAAAAATCCAACTTTCTCCCATTAGGTCAAATTTTAGCACGGTGTATCTAACTGAAAACAAAAATATTACTGAACCTAAGGCTAGTTTTGGGATATTCAAAAGACAAATTCAGGATGCAGCATGTGCCGTGTGAGGCTTAATGGGCTAAACCAAAAGGCCGCCAAGACATGTACATTTCTGTCCCACAGAAGTGATCAAAGTCAAATGAAGTCCTCGTATATCGCACGCTGTTTGAGTGACAGACGATCACTGCATCGCACAGCAGAAACATCACAGCAGCAGCCAGCCAACGAGCAGAAGCCAAGAAATGAGGAGTGTCTCCTCAAATGACCTCATGGATGTGTAATTAACACAGGGTGAAATCACAAAATTAAAAAGGGAGAGCCTTGGAGCTAAAATGAATATTATAAATATTGAAGAGCTGCTGGTAGCCCGGCGGAGCCAGGCTTCATTTTCCATATCTGACAATGTGATGAAAAACCCGGATCGTAATAGCAACCATCTACAAAGGTGTTACTCGATGCGTGGCTCTTAACTGACCCTTTGTCAAGCCCCAACCTCAACAGGAAGTAACCCTCTGTCAAGCCGCCCCTCCCATAGTTACTGTTACAAGGTTAGACAAAATCTCCTTCCCATTTGAAACACTTGAAAATGCCCCACGATTTGAAAGACTTCTATTTATATTTAATTGATTTGAGTCTTTCTAAACGTGGCCTCATTAAAAGAATAAAGACACAGATACAGTAGGATTCATGAGGGAAATCTGTAAAAACTTCATCATCGAAAATCATTTAAAATATGATCAAATCTGATGCTAGTGATGTGGGCTGTCTTGACATTAGCTGTCTCACCTCCACTGACTTACCTCTGGACTCCAGCAGTGAACATCTCTGGAGCCAGGAGTCTGTAATATCCTCTAAACTTTGGCAACAGAGCCTTCAATAAGCAGTTGAAAGTTAGTGCACAATTTTACAATCACAGCAACATCAGTTAGTGCTAAATGTTACTGATCCATGCGGGGTGGGGGGAGGGGGGGGGGGGGGGATATCCCAGATTACAATGTGGATATCTTTTTCTGTCACTTTTGCAGAAACCTTTTTGCATGTAAAAAAAAAAAAAAAAAAAAAAGCCTTTTAACCATGATGTAGTAACAAAAATGAAGGTCACAATATCAAAGCAACGGACTGAAAAGACTTGGCCCAGGCAAAAGTTTGTCTAACCTGGCAGTAGCCCAGCAACGGTTGCTATGAGAGGGGGGGGCTCTTAGATTGGTGAGTCAGTGGACCAATCAGAGAGCCAACAAAGGGTCAATTGGTGGCTCACATGGTTGCTTATAAATCATATGCTAGCCAATGCATATTTAAACAATACACTACACTATAAGAATTCAAATGTTCACATACATACATTTCGGTATCACTATAATTTATTTAAATTTTCCAAAAACCAACCTGGAAACACTGCACACGTGCGTAGGAATGTTAGCTCGGCTTGCTAGCGTGATGTGCACAGGCAATAAAAGTGAATCCATTCCACATGTAGGCCAAAGCTTAAGTATAAGGTCACAATATAACCTACTAAGGTTTGTGAAGCAGCAGAGCGACTGGACTTTGGTTTATATAGTGCACATTCACCATCTCGCTGCATTAACAGTTTCTGCTTTGGCGTCCACTTTCTCCTCTTTTCCTAATAGGCTAATGCAGGCTTGATATATAAAGTGATCAAGACTCTCACAACTGTCACAATCTGACAATCTTTGGAGACAAATACACACACAAAAAAAAGTGGAAGTAGGCTTATACTCCATACTTTGATAAACAGCATAAGAGCTGTGAGCAGAACTTTGAACTTGACGCTCTCTTTGTGGCGGCAACAATCAAGGAAGTTAAACATTGTTCACTGGCAAGCCATTAAAATGATAACGAGCTGGTTGAAAACTTTCCTTTGAAAGTAAAGCAAACTGAAGGGTTTGCTAATCATAACATATCAGACAAATAGGGTTAATATGTTACATCATTTTGAGTTCAAACTTTAGTTTTCAGGATCTTATTGTGACTCTTTTGCCTGATTTTAGGACTCAAGTTGTCACATTTAAATACTGAATACTGGCAGAAAATACTGCCTTAAGTTTAGGCATTCAAACACCAATCCTCACTAAACCAACTAATTAAGTAGTAGTAGTCCCGTCTTATTAAACAATACAGAACTTTAAGAGTGAAATGATAATAATAATATATTGTTATTATATTATAATGTTATAACAGATGTTTTCATTTATAGTTTTAACATTTGCATTGTTCAATATTTAAACTGGACTGATTTAATGGTTTCACTCCAGTTCACCACATGATGATCACCATCAGAAGGTCACTGTTTACCTCTTAATAAACCAAAGCAGATAATCCAGCTGCCATAGAGCTCTCTGCAGGGGGTCGATGACATTTTCATGTGAACAGCTGATGCACACAATGCTGTGAGCCCATATGGAGGTGACAGGTAGACTGCTGGAGAGGCCTGTTTTTTTTTTGTTTCCATTATGGTGTCTTTAAATGTGAAGCTTTGTGACTGTTGACTGATAGGTGAGCCTTTTTTTTTAAGCTTCTGTTAATTCTTTTTTTTTTTTCTCCAGATAATGGCTCCAGCATGCTTCAGTGAATCTATCCTAACCAGCATATTCTTCTTCTGCAGCCACTCTGTCGTCCTACCTGTGGAGCCGAACAGGTGACAGTGTAGCCCTTTTGAACGCAACGACGGACACTCACCAACTGATTTCTGTGCGTTTCGCCGTGGGGAGAAAAAAAAAGACACCAGGTAGTCCAAAGTTGGAACTAGCCGCCTGCGACCATCTTCAGCAGGGAAGAAGAAGAAGAAGAAGAAGAAGAAGATGAAGAAGTGGTGAGGGAGCGGAGTGTCAGCGGGCCCGTCCGGTTCCACACATCACACCGCCTCATTACAGCTCACACCGCGGGACCCGCGGCTAACAGGAGGACTACACCATAGACACTCACCGCACGGACAGCCGAGCGCTTTACAGTGCGCGCACTCACAGCAACAGGGAGGAGCGTCAAGACGCACGGGCGCAGCCAGGAAGATACGGGTGGAGAAGGATAATGCCTTCAAAGTAAAAGCTGCTGCGTTAGATGAGAGAAAGAAAGAAAAACTCTTAAGAAAGAAAAAAAATAGTTTTGATTTGTACAAACAGAACACACCATTTAAATGAATGATTTTAAGGTACAATGCGTAAATATGCCACTTCACACTTTAAAGTTAGTCCTATGTGTGAAATGATAACACATGAGAATCCTTTAAAAAAAAAAAAAACATAAGCCTGGTGCTATTTATATGTTTTATTAAAGGCTCGGTTGTTTTTTGTATATTGCTTTTCTCTTTGATTCACATCTCTATCTTTTTTTTTAACATATAGGCTATCCAGTCCGGCACAGTAGCCTATTTCAAAACTTGCACGTTTTTAGCTGTTGTTTCACAGCTGTGAAAAGTAGTGTTTCAAGAACATTATTGTGCTTGTGGACTTTATACAAAATTTATGATTATTCAGCATTTTGTGTTGGCGTGAGATAGTACCTTTGCAGTGACCGTGAAGAAAGTTGTTTTGAATGTTACTTTTATTTTGAAGTCAGTGTGCTTTAGTTTCCTGCGTAAATGTTCTAACCTGCCGCTGCTTGTTAAAGGTTTGTACCATTGTCTTTTCAGTGAGGGGGTGCACCCTTAACTTTACTCCACAAACGGGAGCTTCTTGGTGTGCGGATCTTGTTTGTTTTTCTTTTTCATATTCGTGTTTTTGGATCCAGAACCCACTGAGGGATGTGCGTGTCTTTTTTTGATTTTTCATTGTGCACCATTAACTAAACATTCAAATATTGAGAAATGGTATCGCCTTTTCACCTGGTATTTAATGGAATCTCATAAAGCAATAATTAGTTCTCACTCCTAATCTATACGGATAATTTATTGTATCATTATTTTGTTACACGGTTAGTTAAACTAGACACAAGATTCTACCACCTTCAGAAACAGAAAACATTAATAAAGAAAATGCAATTGTGTTCACTCAACAGGTTTTTTTTTTTAACAACCACTGTATGAATATCTATTTTTGCATAGCTGTTTAATCAATTAAGGAAACTTTAACATGTAGCATGCCTGTTGAACTCTGGAGTCTCTGCCACCATCACTCTGAGCTCAAAGAGCAAACATACCTGTGCATGCTGCAGTAATCAGAGACAGGTGGATCCACTCTCACCTCTTAAAGGGCACTTTAATGTAGGTATAGCATTAGTTGTTCTGTTTCCTTAATTGTATCAGACTGCTGAAGAGAGACGGGGGTCGGCACAGGGCAGAGGTCGGATTTGAACCCACGGCCGCTGCAACAAGGACTACAGCCTCTGTACAGTGGGCGCACGACATAACCGCTATAGGCTATCATTGCTCCCCAACTTTAATTCTGAATCAAACCAGCAATAAGAAAGATAGACAAATACCCTGTCATTTAATTAAGTATTTTGTTCTCAGCTTTGACTTTTCATTCAAAGCTTGTAGTGACATGACAAAAATACAATTTAAACATTGGCGGTAATCTATTGAAAGACAAAATATTGTTGCGTTTTGATATTTAGGGCCACCACAACAAAATCTACTTTATGTTGTTGTGTTGGTGCAACACTGAGCTAACTGATTTGATTGGTGTATCCATGGTTTAATGGCATAGGAGATTATAGAAATCAATAATAGACATCAGCATCACAATAAAGGGCAGTGAATTTGCACAGGAAGGATTTTTATTCAGACAAAAAAACACCTTAATCTTGTCAAGTGGTGCTTCTGTATTATTTGCACTAATAGAGAAAGGGCTCATAACATAATTGGTTGCTTGTCTTTTTCAAAATAATGCTAAATTCTACACATTTTTAGGAAAATTATCTTCACATAGTTAAGAAAACTTTAAATGCAAGAAAACACAACACATAAACCCCAATGGTTCACTTGTGACGCACTTGACAGGGAAAGGTGACGCAGGTCTTGTTATTGAGAACAAACTGGTAATGGACTCTCCTCTTTAAGGAGTCCTATTAATGATTCATAAAACCTCAAATCCCCTTTTAATATCAACTGTATGATATTCATTGAACATACGTGTGGTGTGTATTTAATAAGGTTGTATAAGGCATTATGTAGTTCTGTCCATTGTTTAGTGGTCTGAGTGCTGATCCAGGAAGAGATGCTTCTTCACCATTGAGACAGTGCAGAGTGCTGATGTGTTTCCCTCACACAGTAGGCTATATCACCATCCTTGCCATTTTGTCTAGTGCTCAAACTTTTATTTCAAATTTGGTCTTGGTTTGCTCAGTGACACTTTTGACCATGTTCCTTTGTCTGTCATATCAATCTGAAGGGTGCATGGAAAACACAGAAGCATGAACCTGCAGAAATCAAATACACAGGACAAAGCCCAATGGCATCCTTAAAAGGGTAAGATTAAAAGTCATGGTTAAGTCGACCTACACAGTCTATGATTTGCACTCATTACAAAGTGCGACAGACCTGGTTTCACGGTGGTAATGAGCTTGCTTAAGAAGTGCAGTTTTATCTTTGCACTGATTATTCACAGGTGTGTTCACTGCATTTCAGAAGGTCAGACCCAAACAGATGGAGGTTTGCTACCCTGTGGCTTTAAGCTCACTGTTGACCTTCACTGTCACACCTGTTTACTCTCCGTGTGCTTCCTCTGGTCAAACTAAATCAAGATCATCTCTATTTCTTCGCAGGATGAACTTTCTTCATACCTGCGAAAAAGCACACTCTTTTTGTTACCATGGTTACATATCTTACCACCAGTAATGGGTTATATAAAAACAGCAAGGCAGACTCATTTAATAATTTCACACTATGACGTAAACAATTTACTCCAAAATTTACAGAACATTTTCACATTTCTACTCTGACATTAAAAGACTTGCATCAGCTATAATCACTTTCCAACCATGATGAACACTTCTGTTTCCAAGACTAGAAAAGGGTTTTGAGAGCCTGCATTTACTGTAAACTTTAAAATGTTTAAATCTGTACATCACTCAATATTTATCTTAGTACTTGGTACTTGATGGAACTTTCTTTTACAGGGAGTCTTGGGTGATGAACACAACAAGATGGAACACATGCTTAGTAAGATTCAATTTATGAAGAACACAAACAACGTATCTCAGCAGGGGGCAACACTGGATTACTTGCAGACTTAAATACCAACAAATTATCCTTTGAAAACTACAGCACAATGTGAGGCTGCAGACGGATTTACAAAATGAACAAATATGTAAAGTACAAATAACAGACATATATTGAATATGCTGGTTAAAAAGCAGAATAAAACAGCAGCCCTTACCAATGACAATAAAGGACAGGCCAGATATCATGCATGATTAGGCCTTCATAACTGTGTTTTTTTTTCCTTTAAATATAGAGGCTATATCATCTTGAAATAAGGTATCATCAACATAGCATTGGCGATTATTTTGAATTGACGTGAATTAACATAGGCCCCAAACCAATTAGGTTGTAATGTGTAGACTATCAAATTGTTCAAGGGGTTAAATGATGAACTATAAAAACGGGCAACTCTCTTGCCTATCCAATTAGTCAACATTTTGAAGCGAAAACTCAATTAGCCAATCACAGCCTGGGTGTTGATTACACCCGTTAAAGTTTTTAACTACAATGCCCCATGAAAACTATTAACACAGTAGGCCTAAGGTATTTTTCCCAAGTGTCCATAATGTCGGAAGTAGAATGATTTTGTCGGAAAAATAAAACTGAGAGCATCAATTTACACAAGATGTCCTGTCATAATACAACGAGCATTCAACAAAGGTGTATACCTCACAATAAACACACTGAACCGAAATGAATCATTACCAGTTTTGTACGTACGGTATAAAGTATGACGGTGTCTAAAGTGACTCAGCCTTTATTTTGAAGGGGCGTATAAGGTTGCCCGATACTGACTTCTGTCTGACTTGACGTCGCCATTTTGGCTCAGTTTCTTCCTGAACTTTTGAAGCTTCATCAACTTCAATCGGAATTGAGAATTAAACAACCATGGGTGCTTGTTTGGCACTGGGTTCCCTTGCTAGTTGTGTGAGTATACATTAACTGTTGTTATCGTACATGTGTGATAAACGTAGATACGTGTTTTTTTTACGTATTTAGCTGGATTAGTGTTGTTTTTTTGCGTCGTTTGTTCAAGGAAGCGTTTACCTTGAGGCGATGACGTCATGCTGTGAAAGTTGTTTTTTTTATTTACTGCTTTTTTACAGAGAAACATACATGATTAAATAGACATTATATTTTCAATTAATAATTAAATGAAAGGGTTTAACCAATTTATAGTCTATTGCTATAATTTGAAATATAGATTAAAGTAATGTTAGATTAACTTTGATGTAAGCCGCCCTTCCTGCTTGACAAATTGTTAAAAGAAAGCGAACAAACTATTTTGAAGAACTTGTGCCGAGTTTCAATGTTAACCATATACCCTACCCCAACTTACTCTAACTTTTAGACATAGACATGTCAAATCTTGTTGACAAAATGGCTTTCTACAAGGAAAAAAAAAAAAAAAAAAGTCCCTTCATGAAAGGTGGAGTTGCCAGATTTCTTACAGAGTTTGGTGTCAGAGCATGGACTTCATTTTGCTTTCGTTTCATTTGTCTTGTAAAATAACTCACAAAAAGGCCTAACCGCGTAGATAAACAGATTGTAGTGCTGTGTTTACATCTGTTGTTTCCTCAAATTGTTTCCTAAAACGGCGCCGTTTCCGGGTTTCAGTCGGGAATCTGCACAATGTCCTCCGCAGTCGGTTGTCGCTGTATTGTTGTTCTTACGTTTCCTTCATAAACATCCTTGCGTTAACTTAGATTGTATCCTTGTTTGTGTATGTTTCTTTGACTTTAGCATCTTATATTTTTACAACATATAATCTCAATGTGTTTATTTATGAGATTCTTGACACAATTCGTAAAACTCCAAGCTGCAAAATGTTGTGTTACAATACGCGTTAACCTCTTTAAACCTGACCCCCTTTCTAATCTTCACCAGTTAAAACAGTCATTGAACAGAGTTTTGTTATAATTGCAATGTAGATTTTGTTTTTTTAGTTTGAATGTTGATGAGGTCAAACACGTGGATCGGGAAGATCAACATGCAGCTTTGTCAACTTTAAAAGTTGCATATTGAAGATAAAGGAAATTCCAAACAATTACACAACTAGATTGTGATCACATGCTCTTTGTAACATTGGAAACTGTAGCTTAATCTGCCAAATAAATAAATAAATAAATAGCCCTCAGTACATTTAAGTAATAAAGTAAAGTGTACTTTGCCAATATAAGAGTTGAGTAGTCTTAAATAGTTTTTGAGTAAAAGATGATAGTTATCTAATTTAGTGGAAATTGATTTGAAAGCCTTTATTGTCATTGTATGACAAAAGACTGTGAGATTAAGATTTCTACTCCTGTTCGGTGCACAGATAACACAAGATAAAAACATGGGCACAGATAAGGCAGATAGAAAGAAACATACTCGAATGCAGTACCTTCACGTTACAGATCTGCAGTAAACAACAATGCTTAACATGACAAGAGACAGTCGTGGGAGAGGTTACAGGTAGCTTGGGGGTTGGACTGCAGTACCAATTTTAAACACCATGTGTCAGAGAGTTACATATTACTTCTTTAACTATTATTTCAGTGGCTGCCATTGGTGGAGATCTCTATATTGATAGAATTAAATTTTAAATCCTGAAACAATGGATATTAGCCTAAATCCTAGACAATTTTGAGTGATGGATTCATTTTTTTGGAATCTTAAAGGTTTTGATACAGAAAAAGCTGTTGAATAAATAATCTGCCGCACACCTGAAAAATACTTTTCTGTGACTTAATTGCGCGTGAACAACGTAGCGTTTCTTCTGTGTCTTCCTCAGCTTAGCCCAGAATAATCACATAGGCCTATGCAGGGTGGTCTCTCACGTGACCCTTCCGTATTTAAGTCATTTTTCAGTGTGCTGCTGAATAGTCCTGCAACTGACCAACGCTTGAGTCGATAGGTTGGCTGTGCGTGGAGTAACCGGTTTATCGTTCGTGTAGAGACGAAACAAAACTAGTTTTCTCTGCAGCAGTGTCTCGTCCAGCTTCCGTTATCTAGATCTCTGCAAAACTTTGCCAGTGAAAAAGTACACTCAAGCATTTTCTGGTCTGCGTGCTGTGATTTGCCTAGTCAGAATCCCACCCACTGACAGTGATGATGATAGGCATTAAGAATATCCATATTCAAATCATCACTTTGTCATGGTTGGTCTGGTTCTTCTTTTGTCGGTCATATAAATGTATTAGCATAAGCTTAGCCTGTTTCATAACCATAACCTACCAGTTGTAGGTTTGAGTAGTCTTTGTATTTGGGTAGCTTTTCTCTTGACTGTTCAGGAATATGATTATTTGTAAGAGTTGTTTGTTGCTCAGGTAGTGTGGCCTGTCGGATCTGTGGAAACTGGATTCATCCCGTCACGGCGGCTGAGCTGTTTACACCCAGGGCTTGTGTACTCTGGTGCATAGTTAGTGAAGGATGGCTGATCTCAGCTACAGACTCTGCCTCAGTGCCTCACACACACACACACACACACACACACACACACACACGCACCTCTCAGCAGTGTTCATCTGAATCATGCAGGAATCCTCTATGATCGTGTTTCACAGCACAAGATCAGAAACAGGCAGGGAGAGATTTGTGATGATGGCTGCACCAATCACAAGTCTGATTGCTGCTGCTGCTCTAAACCCTTATTACTCTGTCTCTGCCTCTCCTGAAGAAGAAGAAGAAGAAGAAGAAGAAGAAGAAGAGAGATGGTTTCCCTGACAGCAGACACAGTGCTATTTGTTGTTTTGTCATCGCAGGCCATGCATGCATTACCCTGATTAACTGGCCTGCCTCTGACTGTCATAAAATCTGAATCTGAAGAAGGCCTCGCTAATTCTCTCCCTCATCTCTTCTCCAGGCGTCCTGTCTGTGCGGCTCGGCCTCCTGCCTCCTGTCATCATGCTGCCCGTCGACGTACAACTCCACCATAAGCCGGCTGGCCTTCTCCTTCCTGCTGCTGCTCGGGACGATGGTTTCTGTCATTATGATTCTGCCTGGCATGGAGGAGCATCTTAAAAAGGTACATTAGATAAGACGAGATTAGATCACATTTAATGGTCCCCACAGGGCTGCTGCATAAGGGTCTGTAATTGTTTCGTTATGTTTTTCCTCAAAGCACATGGCATTTCGAAAGCTGGAAGAAAAATAACTCAAAAGTGGTTTCCTGAGCTGTAACCCCGGCAACAGAAATACTGTAGAGCAGCTGGGCAGGGTGCTTGGATTATGTGTTTATTAGGAATGTTAGTTTTAATTTTGAACCCAAATGTGCTGTTATTTTACAACCATTGAATTCATGAGCAGTAAGTAAGGATTGTTTCTAAAAAAACGTAAGGATTGTTTCTAAAAAACATTTTTTATCACTTTGAATACAACAAAGTATAGTTTACTGGTAACCTGCTGCTGCCCTTTTGACTTCTCATGGTCACTGCAGGAGTCGGAGATGACAGAGAAATCACAGGAAGACGATCGAAAGAGCTGGAAAGTTCTCCCGCTCTTCTCAAGGCATCGTTGTTGAATTATTTAGCCTTCTTTGTCAGACTGGAGTCCAACTGTAACATATCAACGACAACATTTCATTTATCAGTGTCCTGGTTTTGACCCTGAAAGGGGAATATTCCACCAAAGTAGTTTTCAAAGTTAATTAAATTGAATATACATATTTTAGAATCCCATTTACTAGCAGCTGTACTGTGTTTAACCACAGCTTTAAAAACAGTTGGCTAGTTTTCTGTTTACAATTCAAAGAGCTAACCATAATCAGGCAAAAGGTCAAGGGTCACAAACTCAGGTTAAAACCCTAAATCAGGCTTATTTCTGAATGTGCGCATTTCCAAGTATACCCTCTTAGACCTGAGTAATGTCGGCACATCCCCCATGTTTTAACTAGGAAATTTTAGGCTATGTATTAGGCCATTTATAATTGGGGATATTCATTCAAACAGATATTGCTTTTTACATGACGATGTCTGTGATCTGTGTAATGGTACATCAGGCATATTGTTTTAAACTTGTTGAACTGACAACAAGTTCTCAAACAACAAAAGTTGTTCAGTCCATTGGATTCTTGCTCTGCCTGCGCTTCATCAACTGTTCCCTTTGTTTGTCTTCTCACTGTCAGATTCCAGGTTTCTGTGTTGGTGGCTCTTACATACCCAGCGGGAACAAGGTGAACTGTGATGTCATTGTGGGCTACAAATCGGTGTACCGTATGTGCTTCGCCATGGCCTGCTTCTTCTTCCTCTTCTCCATCATCATGATCCGTGTTCGCAGCAGCAAGGACCCCCGAGCCTCCATCCAAAATGGGTTCGTACTGTAACAGCAGCTTCAGTACCACAGCCCTGTGTGATTTAAAAAAAACCATGCTGCACTCTGGTGGCTAAACAAGGGAACTGCATCTTTAATATTGTATTTCTATTCATATATAAAAAAAAAAACATGTGTATTTTGTGTCTTTTCAGTTTCTGGTTCTTTAAGTTTCTCATGCTTATTGGCATAACTGTCGGAGCCTTCTTCATTCCAGATGGCATCTTTACTACAGGTAAGAAGCACACACCTGAGTATTGTTGGCTACACCTGAGAATTACCGGCTCAGTTTTTCTAAATGTTAGGCTTCATGACTTTTTAACCCAGTTTGTGTTCATATCAAAATCAAGTGAAGTTTCCGTTCCAAGCAGAACTGATCAATGTTGACCTGCAGTGCCGCTTACTATCCTGAGAGCCTCCTTCTGCTGTGAAGTGAATGTTTTGGTCATTGAACACTTTCAAAACCTTCCATGACAAACGTCTTCAATCCTCAGTGTGGTATTACTTTGGCGTTGTGGGCTCCTTCATCTTCATCATCATCCAGCTCATCCTGCTGGTGGACTTCGCCCACTCCTGGAACCAGGCGTGGCTGGAGAAAGCAGAGGAGGGAAACAGCAAGTGCTGGTTTGGAGGTATCCTGTTTATCTTTAACTTTAAGTCCAAGTGTAAAATTCAAGACAGTGAACTCGATATGAGTCATCTGTGAAACAGCGCTCACATGTTGTCTTTCAAATCTATGCACTTTGTTTTTCAGCTGTGTCATTAAACAAAGAGCAGTGCAGAAGTAACAGCATGGCAGGCTCAAAACCGCCACTCAGTGTTCATCATAAATAGGGTTTTTATTGGAGCTGATTACCAGCAGAGCATTTCATGGTATTCACATCCTGTAAAAACACTTGTAGGGCTTTCACACTTCCAAACAAACTTCTCAAAAACTGCTGATATTTGCAGGAGGAATGCAAGTTTTTCACCCGGAATTTATTTTCTAAATCTTTTCAGAAACGTTGCATACAACACTGAAACCTGACCTCATTCTGTTGTAGTTTGGAGTCTCTGATCATTTTTTTCCAGGCTTACAAAATGTTAACAACTGCTATCCTATGCATTTATAATAGCACCCAAAAAAAAACCCTGTATGTTAATGTTTCAGGAAAAAGCAGAAGCTCCACCTATTACTTTTTCATGAAGAGATATCGAGAGTCACTTTAAGAAATGAAGGCACTTCAACAATATTAGTCACCCCGTCTTCAAAACATTGAAGATGCTAATTCAAGAACTATTGACAGATAACTGAAGGACATCGCTGACCCTCTTAAAAGTGACAGGATGTGAATGAGGGAGGGATTAGGGGAGAGTTAGTTGTTACCCTCTTCTTTTTTTTCTCTCTTCTCTCATTTTGCTTGTTGACTGGTCAGTTTGCTTTGCCGTTCTTCTTAATTGAAAATGATCTGTTCTTGTAAATGTTTTGATTCTGCTTCCTCATGAAAAGAACAACAACTCTTTCAACCAGAACATTTCCCTACCTTTAACTCGTGTACCAGTATAGTAATGCTACATTAACTTCCTGGTGTCAGAACTAAGAAACATGTGACTTCATCACATCCGAGTCAAGTGTCATGTGATGTCTGACGACTCTTTCTTCTCCCCTCTCAGCTCTCCTGACCATCACCATTATTAACTTCGCCCTGGCTTTCACTGCTGTCGTTCTCTTCTACGTCTTTTACACCCAACCAGACGGCTGCACGGAGCACAAGGTCTTCATCAGCCTCAACTTCCTGTTCGGCATCGTTGTGTCCGTCGTGGCGATTCTGCCCAAAGTCCAGGTGACATAGAGACTGTAGAAGAAATATGTTTATTGATATAATTTGATTGAAACGATTCATTTTTTTTTTTTTTTTTATGTTTTGCAACCTAACGTTCCATGTGTGATACTCCACAAGTGGTTCAGTGATATTTACAAATCTCTGGATCTGTTTTACAACTTACAAAAAAAGTTGTTGTTGTTTTCCTGACTCCTGTTGTTCCCACAGGAGGCTCAGCCCAGCTCAGGTCTTCTTCAGGCCTCCGTCATCTGCCTCTACACCATGTACATCACCTGGTCAGCCATGACCAACAACCCCAGTAAGTCCAATGAATCTGAGCCACAACATGACTGCATTTTCATTCCCTTTCATTCCATTCAGAACCTGACCCAGGATTTTAAGAAAGTTTGTAAAAGGGAATGTGTCACTCTAATCCTAACCACTTAGCCACAGTCGCCGCTGTGAATGTGACTCTTAATGACAGATGTATAATGGTTTTCTTTGTTTCTGACCTCAGACAAGCAGTGCAACCCCAGCCTGTTGAGTTTGGTCCAGCCCAACGGTCCTACTCTCCCTCCAGGAGTTCCTGCTCCCACTCCAGCCCCTGGAAACGTCCAGTGGTGGGATGCACAGGGCGTCGTGGGACTGATCATCTTCTTGTTCTGTACTCTCTATGCCAGGTATGCTACTGTTATTTTTACTGAGGTTCATTTTTTTTTTATTTTAGACCTTGTGCTCATATTGTACCTCCTCAATTCATGAGAGGACTGAGGCCAGAATGATTCAGACTAAAGTGGGTCTATGAGTACACATGGAATTTAAGGATAAGATTTTACTTAGAAAAAGAACAGCATCTCGATGAAAAGAAAGAAATAAGCAGTGGAAAAAAAGACTCAAAGATGATTCAGTGTCATCCGTATATCTGAAGATGTCTACAGACCAAAGGGACGTTCTATTAAGTCCATGCAGAGTGTACAATGGACTGACCTTATGTGGGATGATATGACTCTGATGCAACGCTGAGATTGCATTTGAAATTAAGTAGTCCAATCCAAACTCTAGTCTATTTAATTAGTTTGAAGTTTTCTCATTTCTACCTGAGGAGAGAGCTGATCAAATCTGTCACTTCATGCAGTTTTTTCAGCATCTTTTTTGGCTTAATTATTGTTGTTAAAATAGCAAAATCTTGTTATTTCTGCGTCATACTGTCTGAGAAAGCCAGATTACAGCTGATTTATGTTAGCTGGTTTTCATCTGAACATACTGGTTCCCATACTGAGCCTAGCCGACCCTCACCTAGCTAACACGTCATCGAACTGGAAACTGGTCAGCCTCAGAGAGCTTGAAGCTGCAGCAAAGTTTAAGACAGTGAAATTAGTCAAGCTGTGTTTGCACCGCTCGGTTTTATATTTTCACCACAGACGTGACAGCTGCCTTTTCTGACTGATGTGGAAGTGACAACACTGACGAGTTTAAGTCTGTTTAATCTTTGTTTTTTATTTAGATCCCCATCACAGCTGCTATTCTTCCTGGGATCAACATGATTTCCAAAATGTCGATCCAAAAATACACTTACCATCACAGTACAACCAACAACAATACAGACGTAATGAGGCGCCATAGTCCTCCAAGCTGGAGTCATGCTCTGTCATAAACATAAAGGATGTAAAGATAACGTCTCTCGCTCTCTCCTGCCACAGCATCCGCTCCTCAAACAACTCCCAGGTGAACAAGCTGATGCAGACCGAGGAGGGCCAGGGTCTGACCGCTAATATTGAGTCTGCGACAGGAGAGGACGGGGTCCGGCGAGCCGTCGACAACGAGGAGGACGGAGTCACCTACAGCTACTCCTTCTTCCACTTCAGCCTCTTCCTGGCCTCGCTCTACATCATGATGACTCTCACCAACTGGTACAAGTAAGTGTCGGTTCTTTAGTCTTCTGACCAGCTGACTTTTTTTTTACGTGCATCCTTTTTTCTGACTTTGTCTTTTTTTAAAAACAATTTTTTGTTTCGTCTCATCAGGCCTGACACCGACTACAAGGTGATGCAGAGCAGCATGCCGGCCGTGTGGGTGAAGATCTGCTCCAGCTGGCTCGGCTTGGGCATCTACCTGTGGACCCTGGTGGCCCCGCTGGTGCTCCCTGACAGAGACTTCAACTAGATGCACTGAAATCTGACATCTGATCACCAACCTCTTGCTATTTGCACCTTGTAAAAAGATAGCTTTAGCTTCCAATGGATCTGCTTGGTTTGCTTACAATTGCACATTTAGTGATTAGCTTAAAATTGATTTTGTGGCTGGAGCTGAAATTTGTATTTTTTTCTAAGAAGGAAGAATAATAGGAGTTGAGCTTTAACGTCACTGTCTAGCTTTTCCATCTCATGCCACTCCCCCCCCTCCGATACTGTTACACATATGCACTACATACCAGGACCAAATGCATCTTAAGTAATCCTTTTGAGGGGTTCACGCTTTTGCTTCGTTTCACAACATCTTGTTTTTCCATTATCTTCACAGGCATACAAATGATTGAGTTTTTTTTTAAATTGCATCCCTTTGTTGTAATGCCCAGTTTTTATATCTAAAGTGCCTTTTTATCATGTTTTGCTATTCAAAGAGATTACTGATATATCTTTACACATTTAGATGAGAGAGTCATGTTCCAAGTTGATTTCTCAAAGTGCCCTGTTTGTATGTTTTCATTACAATCAATAAAGAGGATATCCTGATCGTCTTAAATCAGCGTGTAGGAAACATTTCTGTCCTATAGGTGGGGCTGTTGTCCCTCAAATGTGACTGTCTTTGTAGGAGCTGAGCTGAAGTTAGAATTGATTTGGAAATACATGTGTGTGTGTGCAGTTGTTAAGCATGTATTACAACGTTTTTTTTTTTATTGTAATCAGTACTTCATGATTTATTCACAAATGTTCAACATGATGTCATCAAGTGTAGTCAGCAGGGAACTCTAAAAGCCTCACATCCCACACTCAGTTTATCACATGATCCTGCTGAAATGTGATTTAGTGTATTCCTTGGATGTAGGATTCCCCGCCGCAACACTCACACACTCGGACTCACACACATTTGGCATTAGTAATGTAAAGGGAATGTGTTTTCCCCAATCACAAGATCAGCATGAGTGAGGGGGCTGAACACAACACTTCGTTATGCTCCTTCTCCAGCAGAGTGTGGTATATGGATTACAACTCTCCAGTGTCAAGCAATGTTACTTTCCAGTTGAGTGATCATCTTGTCTTCATAAATGTCTTCCACACAAGTGTTTGACAACTGCATCTAAGGGATCAACGCAATAAATGTTCATAAACATATCTATCTCTACACATCTGAGCATTGATCTAAGAAAGATTTATCAGCATCAGATCTTTCTCTCTCCGATATCGGTATCAGTATCGGCCCCAAAAACTTCATATCAGTCGGGCCCTACTGTTCACAGCTGCCTTTCATTAAAACGTTTTAATACATTTATGTTAATAAGATGCTTAACTATAACTCTGCACTGTAACTTGTACTCTTATTTTTGTATAACTCTTTATATTTTAGCTTTTTTCTTCTCTTTGATATTTAAGATTTAAAAAATGTTCAAATATGTTTTACTGTTTCCCTTTGTCTTGATGCTTTTCATGTCTTGTATGAAGCAATTTGAATTGCCTTGCTGCTGAAATGTGCTGCAGAAATGAACATGCCTTGCCTTACATTCTGCCTTCAAACTTTAAAGAGGCTATAAAATCTCTTTCTCAACCAGCTTCCACTGGTAGTGCAGGGATCGTACATGAACACACTGTTTTCTACTGAAATGAAAAGAGTTTCGGTTATTTCATCTCGGAGATTTAGTTTTTCAGGTGGGTGGAGCTCAGTATTTAAAAAAAAACAAAAAACAGTGATGTTACGTACTGCTGATGACAAAATGCTGATGTAACCGCTTTATGTAAGATTTGATTGGCTGAATCTAAATAAGTTCTCCATCTTCATAGACTGATAACAGGTTGGTACTCTGTGGAGTTAATGCAGCACCAAGGGGCGCCTTCATGCAACCAAAGACATTAACAAATATACTGTATACTGTATTTTTCTCCTTGGAAAACAGGAATAATGATTTTTAAAGCAGACATCAAAGCTGTAGGAGACAAAAACATTTTAATTTCTGCTGGACTTAAAAATGAATTCTTAGTTTTTAATGTTGATTTCTGTCTTTGCAGTAGTTGATATACTGTAAAAAAAAAAAACGACGTAAAAGTAGCTTACATCATGAATACCTTACATTAGAGTCATGATACTATTTCACTGTGTGTTTTCTCTAAGCTGATTGTTGACATAAACAACACGAAGCAGGCTAATTCGGCACAGTGACCGCATGGTTATGTCAGTAATCTGTCATTGGTCCAATTTCTCTCTGGAGGTTCACCCTGCTCAGGCACGTTTCACTCAACATGTGGATGCTAATATCATGAGATGTAGGGGACATTTAATCCCCTGCCGCACCTTGGCACCCTCTTCTCACACTCGGGCCATCTCTAAACAGTAGCTAGCTGCATGCCTGAAGTTGTGATCTGACCCACATTGTTATGGCTGACAGTGACAGTGGTAGTCCCCGGCCCAGCTGTGAGCAGCAGGCTGATCTAATGCTGTTATATAAAGCTGAATGAGGCTCTGATCAGTTGCATAAGACAGTTTTAGGACCAATCTCATGGGGGCTCATAACACGCCTCTGCCTGTTGTGGTTTGGTAATGCTCGCCCTGCTCTTGAGGACCTTTACCATCACCATCATCACAGCCATTAACAGAGATAACAGGGGCTCCTTAGGGGTTTGAGGCACCCAGCAACCAGGTAAAAACAAGCTATATGGAGCTCTGAAGGTTTGCAACTGGCAGGCCCGGGAGTCCTCATTAACTCACTGCAGAACGATAATCTCACACTTTTAATAAGACAAAATGATAGTGTGAGAACAAAATGACATCAGTGGTGGAATATGATGAGGGTCGTGATGATACATCAGAATAAATGCTTTAAGTTTTAAAATTCAAATCAATAAACAAAATATTTGATGAATAATTGATGACTGCAACTGATGGACGATTCCAGAGACCCCATTAAGAATGACATCATATTTGACATCATATTAATTGGCCTGATGAAACTTGGCCTGATGAAAATTCTAGTTGTGTTTTGACTCATCATCAATGTGCTGTTTATGCTACCTCGTACTTTTTTGTGTTTCAACAGACCATTTTATTCCCAAGACGCTTTAAACAACATCTTGAAACACTGCATCCTTTCAGATTTGCTACTTCTTATTCTTATTCTGCCGAACTTAGACATGTGGTCCTAATGTGTGGACACTTTTTCTGCAATATTTAACAGAAGTACAACGTAATTGGCTTAAAAAAAAGATGGCATTGACCAGTCTTTCTAGGACTGCAGAAAGACTACAGACTACTCTACAGCCAAACTGAAGAAGAAAATGGAAAAGTTACAAAATACATTAAAAACATTTTACGGGGAATAACTTGTTTATGTATGCTTTAAGCAATATGTGGTTTGACCATAGACTGTAGACATTAATGGACGAAGCCTGAGTAACGTCAGCCATCTACTGTGTTACTGCAGGGGGGTCCTGAGGCTCATCGGCAGCCGCCGCCATGCTGGAAATCCTGTCTCAGCTTAACTTTTAGTCAACCTAATAACAGGCTGAAGAGCTGGAGCTGAGGCGGTTTATAAACCTCTCGATGAACTTGCATCGTGCTCACCTGTCAATCAGGTCAGCTACGTGCCTACCTATGAATAACACGTATCATTTTCAAAATCAAAACAAAGCCATTTAAAAATAATTCACCCCCCCTGTACAGTGTGTGCCAGTGATGACAATAACTAATCAGACCTATTTCGTTTTTTGTACCAGGCTGTAAACATATTCATTTATGCCTGTGATGTGTATGTGACATCCGGTGTTCCTTGAGCCAGCCTCAAGTGGACACTCGATGAACTGCAGGATTTTGCACTTTGGCATTGGTTTAATTTTTCAAGACCTGATGAGGTTGCCGCTTGGGTTTGACTTTTAATGTAAAATGGCACATTTTAGCAATGCTAAAAAACAAACAAACAAGAAAGTAGGCTACTCATGAAAGTGAAAGTGTAAAAGTAGATAAACATTGCTACATTAAATTAGGAGGGAGTCATTTTGTACCCTGCGTTTATAATGGAGATGCTGGTGCGAGGGCAAATTGCAGCATAAACTCTCAACTGCCAGTACGGCATCTGGACTAGACCATCCGGTAACAACTAAACTTCTTCTACCAGTCTGATAAAGACATGGTATATATGTTTGTAATATAATCCATTGATGATAGGCTGTGAAGCCAGATATCACCAGCTGGAGGAGTCATGATGAATTAAGACAGGGATGGGCAACTTTGGTCACAGCAAGGGCCACGTTCATTTAATTCTCACGGCCAGGGGGCCAAATTGTAGGATACAAAAAACGTTTACAGTCAATTATGTCTCAAATTTAACTCAACATATACCAGTGATCAAATATTATTTTGGATATATTTCTGGTTTTCATGATTTCATGGCAGATTTTGTCATGTTTTCTTCATGCTTCAAATTAATTGATATGTGAAAATTGACTTGAGGGTTGATGGGGGGCCCGCATGTGGCCCCCGGGCCGCCAGTTGCCCACCCCTGAATTAGGAGAACTAGAATTATCTGAGGTACTGTATGAGGTGTCGCTGAAGATGCCAGTATCAAACCAACTGAAATGAAACAGTCAGTTTCCGGTCTTAACTTTTGGCTATAAAATCACAAACCAAAGCGTGGAGCTCCGACTGAAAACAGAGGAACACGGCTAAGTACGTGCAGAAGGTAAATCAACATATACCATTTTAAAATGAAGTAAGAGCCTGACATCTCATGTAGCCTACTACTGTTTCAGCATTTGAGCTCCCACGCTTTGTCAACGCCCTAATGCTCGCGCGCTTACACTTTTATTTTGAAGGTCACATCTGTCATGTTTCCTGTCCACTCGTGACGTACGTCGCGTAACTTGACGCAGCTTGTGGAGCCGTGGCCGCACCGCAGAGAAGTGAAGTTGAGCATCCTGCAGGTAATGAACGCTCATACGTGGTGTCAGTGACGCTTTATTCCTAAGTAATACCCCGTGTTTGGTAGTTTTGTTTAACTATTTTATTATTACATTGTGGGGCATTCCGGTTATTCTTGTTCAGCATGTTTTTTTTTCTTGACGCTATATGTGCGGTATATCAAGATAAAGGTAGCTAACGTGAAGATGGGAAGGGGGTTACCAGAGCTAAAGGGGAGGAGGTGCTGTCCGGTTTCTTGAGTGTTTAGGTTGACATGAAAGTAAGGGTGTAAGGCTACCTGAACCCGTCCTGGGCTAACGTTAGTTTATTCCCCGAGCTGGCTTCATTCATTGTCTGTGAGAGGGAGGAGGTGGCGAGCTGCGCCAAGCTGGCTAGATTCACATGCAGCGGCACCGGAAGTGAATGACTTCCGAAGTAAACGTCTTAAATGTATCTCTCTTGGTAAAGTAAGCACAGTTGGAAGTTATTCGTGTTTATGAGCCGACGTGGTTTTGAAGAAAATTTACATTATATACATAAAGGTAACTTACTGCTGGGACAGCGGTGCGACTTAAATGACTAAGATTTTGTGTTGCAGTTTTATTTTGAAGGCGTTCTTTGGCGGACGTTGTTAATGCTTC